TGCTTCTCTGTCCGTCGTATATGTGTGTGTGTGTGTGTGTGTGTGTGTGTGTGTGTGTGTGTGTGTGTGTGTTACTCATACACACCTGATCATCTCCTCCTGGTATAGAGAGCTGACTGCTGCCCCTCCGAAGCCCGTTCTCCTGTCTGCTCCTCGTCTTTCCTGTGAGGAAAAATTACAGGATTGAGAAAGAACAATATGCACCTGAATGAAACTTAACACGTAGATGTAGGTCACAGACTTGGTGATCGCTGCTCGCTCGCTCAGCAGGGTTTCTGTCACATATAGATGGACCTTTTGGCTGTTGTGTACGTACACAAAAGGGTCGAGCCCGTCTATTCACCACGACCTATAGCTTTTGTGCACCTCACGCCCATAGTGCAGCTCAGGACACGACCTCGCCGCCGATAAACGGCCGACAAAATGCACAGAAACGGTATGAAATCTAGTCATTTGCGTTAATCTCCGGCGTTCTCGTGGAATTCCATATTGCATTCAGCCCAGGACTTTATTACCCAGACCATTCTTTGCTGACCAACCTTGACTCACAAAAGAACCCCGCACAAATCTGATTTTCGGAAAATGGGGAGAGTGGGGAGAACATGACAAGCGAAGCAAAACAACTGTGCGTGCACTTTTGGGACAACCTAATTCACTTGAGAAACTCGGAATATTCGCTGATGCACTGGCCCTGCTCCTCTGCAGTATAATGTAATATAAAGCCAGTGTCTGCTCAACAATTGAGACAGGAACAGAGGTCAGATTGTGGCTATTATTCTCTCCCCTGCTCCTCTGTCTATGCACTCCTACTTACACCATTTAACTGTGCCTCCAAAAGAATAGCGGCCGCCGTGCTGTGGCGCTTTGTTAACACTAATACAATCAGGTGCTTTTCAAGTGGGGGGGCAGTTGTGCGTTTGCTGGCCCGTCTGCCGGGCTCTTCCCCCCTCGCCTGGCATTGTGGGGGCAGAGTCAGCGAGTATTGCCCCGGCCCGAGGAGGAACGTGTCGGATCGAATATGTGGTGGACGGCGATTAAAGAGACACAAACGAGGAAGGAGAGCGAGTATGAAAAGAACGAAGGGGTTAAAGAAGAAGAAGAGATGATGGGGCGCAGAGGTGGAGAACAAAGAGGGAACGTAGACAATAGAGGAAAAAAAAAAGAAATATGTGCGTGAAAAGAAGCAGCAGTACAGTAGTATCGGCATGTGACAGGCCTTTAGAGACACATGAAAGTATTCCTTTGCTCTTCAGCTCTGGTGGAAACCTAATTCCATCTCTGGGGCTGTTTCTGTGCAGAATTATGCGGCTGTGAATCCATCCCCCCGTTATTCTACACATGCAGAAGAAATCTGTGTTCAAAGGACTTCGTTTAAGGCATCCTGACAGTCTGTAGTGTAAAGTTTTTTTCTAGTTATTTTATTTATTACACCGGCCCATTCCATATTTAAAAAATTTAAAAAAATCCCCCCAACTTCCTCAGAATCTCCTCACTTTCTATACACCGCTGCACTAAAGAAAACAGAGAATTTGCAGTTGCTTTTGTTTTTAATATACCAGAGTGTGCTTTTCAAACCTGCTGGTGGTGGTTTTGGGATTCAGAGGATGAATTAAAAATGTGTGAAACATAAATAAACAAAAGCAATTCAACAGATTTTTAGGTTGGAGTTTGTGTTTTGACACAAAGATTTCAACTTTTACCTTAAAGTATAGAATCCATGCAGAATCTTACCTTCTGACTCTGAATATTTTCTGAGTTACAGACCCCTGAAGTACATAGAAGTGGGGTCAAGTTTCCCACTTTAAGTATGCCTGTATGGCTAGAAGATGAACCTGATATCAACGAAACGTAGGCACAAATGAGACCTTTTAACTAGTTTAATTTGCATCATTCTCTAACTTAATACATAAAGAGGAAAGCCGTGACATTATCAGGGCTGAAGAACACATTCAAGTTCTGTTAAAAGCTTGAATCAGTTTCACATCCATCCAGGTGTCACAAGCTAAAGACAGTCTCATTTTGGTTCAGGACAATTTTCTTCTCTTTTTTTTTTTTTTTTTAAAGTTATTTTTTTGGCCTTTATGTGATAGGACAGTGGAGAAGGGGGACAGGAAAGTGGGGAAGGACCTGCAGCAAAGTGTCACGAACCAGACTTGAACTCACTACCACACCGCATCGTGGACTTTTAGCCCCTGTAGATGGGACGCCAGCTCAGCCAGGTGAGCTATCACGGCGCCCGGGATGATTTCTTTTCTATAACCAACTTTGAGCATCTATATTATGGGATGTATCATAGTTTCACTTTTGCCTTTATTTGAGAGTGCAGTGAAGAGAGAGACAGGAAAGTGGGGAGAAGAATGGATGAAGGACCTGCAGAAAAGGGGCCATGAGCGGGATTCGAACTCATGACCTCCACGTCGGGGATTACAGCCCCTGTACATGGGACGCCAGCTCAACCAGGTGAGCTACAGCGGCACCTGTTTCCTGATAATTTATTGGAGAAGATCTTTTTGGGTAAACTTTCAAGGCTCATGTGTGAAGTTCTAGTCAATGAAAGGCTCATTTTATCTACATGAGATATGAGGATGATCTTCTAGACATGATTCCTTCTGTGGCAAAACTGTTTTCTAACATGGACAAGTGTGAAATTTCAAACCACCTCTATGCACTTTAATGGCCTGAAAATATTCACAGGATGAAGGTAAAATTTTGGATGGCTTCATTAAATAAATTAAAGTTATTGTATAAGAAACGTCAGTTGATTCTGAGGAGGTCAAGTGGGAGTGACTGAGCTGCATCCGAGATATAGAATATCAGCTGTATTGATTTAATCTCAGTGTTTTGAAACCAATTTTTCAAATACTTCTAACATTATAAACTCTCATGAACAGAAGGTATAAAAAAAAAAAAAACAACATTAATATCAATATAGACCTTTAAATAGTTTCTCAAATTACGTAAAGCTGCAGCTTCAAAACTCTGACATGCAGCGGCCCAAGAAGTAATCGGACACTGAGATAACAATTGGGTTAAAGCAGTTGTCTAAAATAAAGACAGCAAGAGCAAGCTTGTCAAACAAAATGTTCCACAAAAAGAAGAAAAAGGGAAGATGATAAAACAACACATGTGTGGGTATTTTAGGATTTAATTTCCTCTCCTTTAGCCTGTAAAGCTGTACATCAGAGTCACTGTTTCTGTGGTGAAATGTGTAAAAGACTTCTAACGCCCTAAACCAGACGTCTTCTACAGAATCACAAAAACATTCAATAATCTTTCCTACGATTGTGACTGAACTGTGAGCCCACAAACTGAGCTGGAGTTTCAGATCATCCTTATAAAATATTGACTTCAGTTCGTCAGACTGCAGCTGTTGTCTGGCGTTTGATGTAAACGTCACAGAAAGAAAACGTGTTCCTCTCTATGTTCCGATAACAACGCTCCTCCAAAATAAGCAGACAGTACAAGGTTGTTGTCGTAACTGAATGCTTCTGCCCCCCAGGACGACCTGTCCGTGGCAACACAACCCTCCTGATGCCACGACGCAGGCAGGAGTTTGTAGAGACGTAAACAGTCACAATACAGGTTCTTACATTATTCATGTCCTTAAACACAAACTACTGAGGAGGACAACCTTTAATGTATTTTTCATGCTGCATGTCACAGAAGAAAGAGCCTGAAAACAACACGACAGGTTGACACTGACACCTACTGGCGAAGACGCTCCACTGCGGCCTGAAGGCAACGCAGTGACATTGGATGGTTCTATATTTGTCATCGTTTTCTTCTGACTGTGGACCTCCAACCTCTACAGGTCGGTTTCGGTGAACAAGCATCACCAGCCGGGACTGATTTAGCAGCGAGCAACACTTCATAACTGGGTGCAGAAGGTCTCAGTCAGAGGACGGTCTAAACACAGACGATGTTCTCTGAGCGAATGACCTTCAGCTCTGGACCATCTAATGAACAGACAGAGTTCTATCACAACAGAAAGACTGGTGCAAACAGGTCAAGCCTGTGTTTGTAGTTAAATTAGAAGTGATGCTACTTCAATCATTCATTTAAAATAGTTTTGTTGAGGCTTTCTTTTACGTTGTAATAAGCATGTCCTTAGATTTTTTATTAAACTGGAATCTATTCTCTCACAGAATCCAGAATAATACAAATATCCACAGCATATTACACAATATTAGTTCAGCGCTGACTTCTAAAGTATTATTATTATTATAAATATTAAATTACCTTCGTGCTGCCTTCAGGGTCTAACACATTGACACAGGAGATGTACTCTTGCATCGCCTGCTCCGGCTCCATGTCTCCGAGCTGCTTCCAGGCTTGCCTGTAACAACATCACACAGTCATGTATGGTTGCACATTAGAGACGTACGTTTACATTGGTACTGGGTGTTGGACTGATCTACAAAGTTGATTTAAAAAAATCCAAATAACAATCTTTAACACACACGTAAAAGCTCCAAATGAAAACATAAATCAAAAACTGATCACCGATATCAGTGTTGTGAGTTTATTTCATGCATTTTGTTGAATATTTTGTGCTTTAAAATTTAAAACTGCTAGAATTCAAACAGTAAAAACAATTATTTGAGGTTTTTAACGTCCAGATGCACATTAACATCAGGCGTAATGGAAATTTTATGCGCTCATACACTGCTCTAGCAAAACACTTTTCACCTGTTCACCTTAATGACCTCGCTGCTTGTGCACTTTTTGTTTTTCTTGTAAATCTGAATGCACGTCTCATAAAGTAGACGCACACCATGTCTCACTGTATCTCTCGTTAGTATTTTTTATCTTAACCACAATCGCATCCGCACACCTGCAGTTAAGAGTTTGTTCTCCACAGCTGCAGGTAAGATGAACTAATCTGCCCGGCTACTGTCAGTTTTGCATATCAGGAAGACGACACCTTGACTGTATAAAAGCAGCACGCTGTCTGCACTCAGCTGTACTCTCCTGCAGGCTGCTTTGCACTCTGTATGACCTGTACCTTTGAAGCTTCAAACAAAACAAAGACAACTCAGACTTCTGGATTTTATTTAATGACACGTCAAAGCTTCCACAACACAACCTGCAAAAATTACAATCCGAATCGCAAACTTGTTCTGATGTCGTCGATCTGTGAGATTTTTACCAAGACATGCAAACTATTTACTGAAATTGAAGGTCACGTACCATTTTCTCTGTCCTTCGAAGTCAAAGAAACCCGGCTTTGCTGTGTTACACTTCCCCACTTTGACCTGTAAATACAAGAGCAAAGTATTTAGCTGATCTGAGGGGAGGCGTTTAACACAAACAAAAAATGTGCACTCACAGAATTATAATAAACTATTCTAACGCACTTGAGAAGTAGATTATTATCTTTGGTCCACTTATTGTAGACTAAGCAGAAAATACAAACAAACTGAGCTGGTCTCCAGAGCAACTAAACAAGGTCACAGAATGCCTTAAGTTAAATAAAATTCTTTAACTTGCCAAACCTAAGTCATGTTCCCTCTAATAAATCAGAATCGCCTGTTTCTCCCCTCATGTTCAGGAGCTATAAGTCGTGTTTACATCAAAACCTCGTACAATCTCTGCTCAGCCTTCATGTGTTCTGCTAATCGTTGCCTTCTAAACAGGTGAAATGTCAAAACAAGACCAACTTATCAAAGCTGTCTTGGTTAGTTCACACATGGATGTTCCACCTTATAATAGTTTACCATCATTATATTGATCTTATGTGACTATTTGTGCATATTGAACACATGCACGTAGGGTTAAATTTAACACAGACCTTTTATGTAGTTGCACAGAGTCAAGCAGGAAACTCTCCTGCTCAGTTTACTGTATCGTCAAACTGTGTACAAGTCAGTTATATTCTGTACTGTGACTGTTTTTCAGTGAATGAGCCGTGTGTGTAAAGATCCAAATTAATTATCCTGATGGTGTTGTTGTCGCCTAAAGCACAGCATCGTTATGAAATGTGTGACCAAGTGAAATGTGTAGGTCATAGAAATGTTTAGCTGAAACACGACTACGCCGCTAAAGTGTGCAACGATATTTAAATAAAACCAAATAATTCTAGATAATTCTTAGAGTTTCGTCTCCTAAATGTGCAGCTGTGTGTCTCATGAATGTGTTTTTAATAAATAATTTTCATGTGTGCTGCCGACCTTGTAGACAGAAATAAATCTGTCAGCGTCTGACACACAGTCTATTGATCTATAATCTATCGTGAATACAGTTTATCTGTCTTCATCCGTTTAAATATTAATCGATGACAGACTAATAGATGACGGATAAATAGACTTGAATGTATCCATCCATCCATGATAATGATCGAAGGACAAATACCAGACGTCCAGAAGTACCTATTTATCCATCATCCATCACGGACAGAAAGTGATCGATAGATAATAACAGCATATATCTCTATGTATTGATCTTTATTATAATGATGACTGGATTGTTAGGTGAGATGTCGGGATGGTTATTAATCACAGATTCACAAACAGCACCCAGATGTAGCCTATAGATGGGACTGGACTGAATTAACTGCATTCAAAGTGAATTTTCTATCAATTCTATCATTTTTACAAAAATTGTAGCTTCTAGAAACAAACTTTGGGTGTTCATGGGTGACATCATTTTGTATGTTGCTTGTAAATTTAACTCAAGTATTATTTTTTCTTATTATTATTTAGTAAAAAGCATCCCCCGTTTTGCTTTAAGCACAAGGTTCACTCGGCCTAAATGTTTGTATACTTTATTATACAGCTTCAGGGGCCCGACTCACCTTTACAGAGCACAGGTAAATGAGGAGTCACGGTGCTCGGACTCGAGGCTTTAAACCTCACCGGCACACAAACCGTCTAATCCAGCCCTCACCTGTTTGTAGCGGGCGTACAGGTACAGCAGCTGGTCCCTGCTGGCCGTCTGGATCAGGTCTCTGACGCGGTCGGCGGCAGCCTCGAACTCCCGCTCCAGCTCCTCTCCCTCCAGCCGGTCCCCCATCTCCATGGCGCTGCAGTCGAACTTACCCAAACCCAAGTCCGAGTCCGAGTCGGAGCCGGCGCCACCGAGCGGCTCGCCTGTGTCGGGCCGGGCTGGGTCCGTACCTGAGCCCGTCGCAGTGTCCGGAGAGGACGACGGAGAACCAGAAGCCATTGTTATGATTGTTCGTAGCGCACCGCGTCCGGGGACGAGAGCCGCCGAGCCGAGCGAGGGGCGGGAAAAGAACCGGGCCGAGAGCCGCTGCCTGGCGGGTGTTCGCGAGCTGTTTCGGCGGCGGGTTCGTTTTTAATCCGTTATCGGCGAGAATCCGTGACAGTCGGATTTGTTTCTGCCGTCGGTCCGTCTCTGGTCCTGTCGACTAAAAGCGCCGGAGGGAAACGAGTGCTGAGGAGAAAGGTTCCGGCTGCATGTCGGTTTGGAAAACACGTTTGGACGATAAAAAATAAAAAAGAATGAAGGTACAGTTTTTATATTTTTGTACGACTGCTTTTAAAATAATATCTACATGTAAAGAAACTGAGTGTTTGTGTTGTTTACAGCATGTTAGCAACTCACATTCAATGTGTTTAAAGTCGCTTGCAGTAATGAAAAATACTTTATTTATCCCAGAAGGGAAATTCAATTAATTCAATAGGAGAAGCTTCTAGAAATCTCTATTAAGATCCCCTTACATATAAACTATTTGCACTTTGTCACATATAGCTGCTACTTTGCTCATTTGTGTGTGTAAAGTGAACCTGTGTCTGCAGGTAGTTTGTTGGCGAACCACAGGTGAACCTAATCTGGGCCTTAATTGCCTCAGTAGTTCTTCAGTGGTGTTGATTGGGCTGGGCCTCCGAGACTAGAGCCCTGAATGAAATCTTCTTTATTTCTACAAAAGTCATGATACTGAACACCTTTCTATTCTATGATATCCATCTGATGGTGCTTTAAGGCCTCGTGTAGAGATCAGTGTGATGTGTTTACTGAAGTCAAGCTACTTTTCTGTCACATCAGGTGTTTTATTGTGGAGATTTTTCAGTTTTACAGCCGGATATTTGTAGTAGTGATACAGGGGCACCGATGTTTGGGGTCAGATGAGGCCTCTGAACATCTTGGAGTGGCACAAAAACCAAACGATCTGACTTAAAAGTTCACTTAAAGAGAAAACATCAATATTTTATTGATGCTTTTAATCCTGAAAGCTCAGGTCGGATTTACCTGCAGCTGATAAACTGTGACTCTGTGGAACAACTCACCTGTCTGAGATGAAGAACAGTTCAGTGTGATTAATAGTCCTGTCCCCATGTCAGTGATCAATTAGAGTTAATTGATGAAGTTACTACTGTGTTGTACTGTGCATAAATGTGCACCTTCATGCTGCCAGGTTGCCTAGTAAAGCTCATTTTATTCTCAGCTGCTATTTATAAGGCAACAGACAGAATTTCTGTGTATTTTTGTGAGCAACACAGACAACAGATTTAATTTCCTTATTGTTTATTTGGATTGTTGTGTTTTGTCCTTTATGGGTGAACTTCTCTCCCTCAGCAGCACCATACAGTTTATGTAAACACGTATGTTTAAGGGACACCTTTACACATGATGGCAGCTGCAAATCATCAGAAATAAGACTAATTATAAGACACACAGTCAGAGAACCACTGCTTTAGCTGTCAGCCACTCACTGTGATGTCAGTGTGGAAAGAAAGTAGAATAATCTTATTTTTTCACATTGTGTCTCACATTTTATGTTCACTTGTTCCTGAAATAACGTGAAAGTAGTGAAGTTATCATTTTAAAATCTAAAAGTTGCTAGACTGGGCTGAGTCCACATTGTGCCAAAATCCTCTAACCACCTCTGATTGGTGGAGAACCACTAGTTTAATGACCTTTCTGTCCATTATGAGACTCATCTACCAGACTCAGACTTCCATTTTCAGTTCTAACAGGATTATACCGCAGCATGCACCTTTTAAGTAACCCGAAACTCATTTTCTGTCTGTCATGAAACCTGCAGCTAATGTTCACGCAGCTCTGTGGCAGAATGCATTGACACACTTTGTCCAGCAGATGCCGCTACTGACATGTCCATGTTTTACCTTTGGGACCGTGATGAGCAGCGACAGTTTGTCCCAACAAGAAGTTCACCCAAACAAAACAAAAATGGACTCAGTTAAGAAATAATTTAGCAAAAGTTAAGATCAGATCAATCAACAAAATTATTATCAAACTTTAAAATGTTCTGATGCACAAAAGCACAGAAAAATCAGTTCAATTTCAGGATTATTTGTGGTTCCACTGTGTGGACAACATGAAGAGAAGGTTTTAAAGAAGAAATCTAAATTCATACTTTTGTGTCTATTTTGGATTTAGGCTTTATTTATTGCTTTGACCTCTTTTATTGGTTGTGAATCTTTAATTAATACCTTGTCCTCTGTGATCACCTTTAATTTAATAAAAAAGAAAAAACAAATAAAATTAATTTAAAATGTGTTTATTTTCCCATGTTCAATATACTTTTTTTTTTAAAAAAGAGGCAAAAATCAGTAAAATACCAACAATTTTAGCAGTTTACAAACAGTTTAAAAAAAAAGTTGTTTAAAAAAAAAAAAAAAAAAAAAGTGTAATTTTACAATCAAAAGTTTCAAAAAAAATTTTTTGGATGCAGACATTATTTTCAGTTTTAGCCTAGTTTTTTTTTATAGTGTAATTTAATTTAATTTCATTTTACAATTGACATGAAACATCCTACTTTTTTCTGTGAGTTTACTTGGTATTAAGTGTAATTTAAAATACCTTAAAAATATTGACAAGTGTTCAATTCTTAATTTATATTTATTTTCAAAAACAACAAAGATCTGTAAAATATGCTCTTTTTTTTTAGCAGCTTTAAATAAAGCTTTATTTTAAAGTGTTAAAAAGGTAAAGACTTTTGGTGTGAACTTTATTTATAGTTTTGATGTGTTGTTTTTACAGTTAATGTTTACGTTAATATTTGTTCTCTTATTTTATTATTTTTTTTCCTGTAATTTAATAAAACTTGGAAAACCTTTAGGATAACAGCAGATTGTTCAAAAATGAAAGTTAAAACTGTTCAAGCGTTTATTTTTTACAGTGTACTGTTGGATCAAACTGTGAATTCAGACGTCCAATATCAACTTTATTCCGTCTTTCTTTGCAGAGACGCAACAACAAACTCCTCAGACAACATCCGAACCGAACAGACCCTGCCCTGAGGAGTTCCGGGGCTTCCTGGTGCCCAACGGCCCGCAGCAGGTCCCGCCGCCGCCGTCCGGTGCCACTGCGCGCTCTGCTGACGCAACCACGTCGCTGTGGTTCATTGCGATGGCGGACCGCAGTGTCCCCAGACCTGCCCAGGGAGGCACCGAGCAAAGTCACTGAGCCGCTCCCCACCGGCTCCGCTCAGCCGCCGCTCGACCACCTGTTCCAGACGGACGCCGTCTTCACCGTCCCTCCCCGGGAGCCGTAGCATGACGCACCGGATCGGCTCGGAGCGCACCGACCGGGACGAGCCAGAAGTGGAGTAGTGAAGCAGCGGAGCGCGCCGGGCGGACGAGCCGCATGTTGAGCCCGCAAGTTGACTGACACGAGCAAAGTCGCGTCGACGGCGAAGCGGACGAACGGATTTAACGGAGCTCTGAGGGGACACTTGTTCCGGCAAAATGAAATTCGCGGAGCATCTTTCGTCCCACATCACTCCGGAGTGGAGGAAACAGTATCTCCAGTATGAGGTAAAGTGAAAGCCGGGCTTTAATTATCACTAATGTGGACGTGGGAGCGAAGAAATCACGTTTTTAAGTGTTTGGAGCAACTGAAAGAGTCATTTTAACCATGACACGTTTAAAAAACAACAAAGGTGCGTTGAATCCATAAATACATGTTTATTTCAGGTCCAGGGCAGCTCACTCCTGAGAGCAATAAAGCAGAGATAAGGGAAGCCCTTTTGTTTATGGAGGGGAAATTGACTGCGGTTGTTAAGAGCCACGGGGAGCATTCAGGTTTTATTATTGTTGTTTGCTGAGTTCATGGCACCGAAAAAATGAACAAAATTAACAGTTTACCAAACAGCTGAGTCACTTTCATGCAAACAAAATGATCCATTCCTTCGATTTAAGAATTTATAGTCCAGATATTTGAAAAGCTCCCATAAATAATTCATTTCTAAGCTTCATTGTGTGTTGATTCTTCACATTTTCTTTACAAATGCTACTTTTTTGTTGTAATTCTTTACAAATATTGGTGTTTTTCAGTCTCCTTGAAGTGATTCTTGTTGTTTTTTTTTCTTGATTTAGTGTTTTTTTCATCACATAACTGAGGTTACATAAAAAAAGGGAGAAAAATGCTGATTGTCATCAAATGTCCAACAGAACGTCACCGTCTCTGCGTTGTGCTTTGACTTTTACTATTAGCATCCATTTAATTGAACCTGAAGGTGACACCAATTATGATTTTCTGCAAAAAAAAATCTAATTAGCATTGCTAATGATGGCTTATTTTTATCCTGGAGGTGTGAACAGATGTGTGTCTACGTGGCTTTTTGATGTAGTTCAAGATGTAGTTGTTGTTTTTTTTCTAACATTTTGCAAACTGAAGCGGTTTGTTGGACCTGCTGGGCTCCTCCATCCAGCATGATGCTCAGTCTGCTGTGTGTGGATTCGGGGGAGATCTTTGTGTGCACACATCACGCTCTTTGTTGGCTGCTCTACTGTACTTGAGGAGTGTTTTATTTTCTCACTTCTTCAGCTTTCCAGCGCAGACATGCAGTGACAGGACGGGCTGCTCAGTTCCATTTAGCTCCATGAATTATAGACAAAGACCCTCGTTCTGTTCAGCAGCAGCAGCAGACTCAACACTGAGCTGCTCTTATTCTGGTAACATGCCCTGAATGTTATTATTAAGTTGCTGCACTTTGGATCTCCTCAGCTTGAATGAAGACATCATCAGGCTGCATAATTAAAGTGGGGAAAAAAAAAAGGAGAGTCTGATATTTTGAGGATGAACCACACAGAGGTCAAACCAGCAGGAAGGAGAAGTAAATCTAAAAGCGAGCGTAGAGGCTGCGTGCTGTCTTTGTATGTGCAGGCTGAAGGGACAGATGCATGGCCATACCAGCCATTTTACACCTCCAGTCGTCAGCGCGCCACTCGCTGACCTGAGATGGATGATGGTTGATTTTTTTTCTTTCTCTGTCATCTGTCTTTAGTGCTGTAACAGTTCCAGCACATATAAAAACATCAAATCTGACATTTAAATTCATCGTTTTAAAGCAAGACGTACCAGCAACTGTTGCAAATTAC